ACTGCATCACGGTACCGAGCTTATTTGGTGAATTCTATGAGATTTTCCATATGAAAACGCGTGAACATGTGAGATCCTCGACATCATGGTATGGAGCTGTTTTTTTGGGTAATCTGTCTTGATATTTGTATATGCTCGTATGGCAGTTTTTGTTACGCATGCCATGGAGGAGCACTGGAAATGGCAGTGGTTCTACAGCATCATGGCATCGAGTTTCGGCTTGCAACTCAGTGTCACACTTATGACCTGTAGTTGTGCATTTGCACTTCGTTGCCGCGGGAGGTAGTTTTGTTCTTGCATTGTGCTTGCATTGTCGTCGCTCGCGTGGCTTGCGGATCAATGACCTGTAGTTGTGCATTGCGGATCTGTTAAATAGCTTGCGTCGTGTTCAAGGTAGGGAACGTCTGTTCGATCACAGTTGCTGCCATGACCACCAGCGCTTGCGAGTGGAGAGCGGCGCGAGAAGAAGATATCAGGAAGGCTTACGCCGACAAAGAATGCTGGAATGACTTGGACCGCATTACCTCTCGGCACCCTTACAGTTTCGGGTCCATAGAGGAGTGGCCATTGGACGCTGCCGTGATCTGCAAACCTACGGCTCGAGCGTCGGTGCTGCTTGGAAGCATCAAAGCGGCCTGCAGCTTGAAAGACATTTTCGAGACTCTGTCGGTGAAGGTCACCGTGGTGGTGACCATGTGCGCAAATGAAATGGAGATTCGAGGCGCCCCAAAGTCCAGCAAGAAAATGTCTATCACGTCAAGTGTCATTTGGAGGACACGACATTGAAGCCGCCGCACCGTTGGCAGGAACGAATCCCTGACTTGGTAGCTTCTTGTTTGGAACAGTGGAAAATTGTTTGTGGCCAACTCTGGAAACAGTCCATGCTGGCAGTGACCAGGGGCGAATCCATGCACGTGCTCTTCCATTGCTTTGGTGGCATCAATCGAAGCGCTGGGGTTTTATGTGCTTGGCTCGTCGTGGGTTACAACTACTCTGCAGAGGATGCCGTCCAGTTGCTGCTTGAGAAAAGACCTGCCTTGCGCCCTTGGCACAATCGCCCCTATGTCTTGGAGGCCTTGTGGCAGCTGGAAGGTTTGCGGGCCAAGTGGCACATGGAACTGAGTGCGGCGGGCAGAAATTAATTTGCACCACTGTTCGCCTGGAGAGACTGTTCGTGGCGAACGTGCTAAATCAGTAGCCAAGTGTTGTTAGTCTGTAAAGATTGTTCGATCCTGTAGAGACATCGGAGAAATGCAGTGAAACAGGTGTCATCCATGCCATCATGATATCGAACTTGTTTTTGTGGAATCATTCGCTGCGTTCACAAATTAATTTGCACCACTGTTCGCCTGGAGAAACTGTTCGTGGCAAACGTGCTAAATCAGTAGCCAGGTGTTGTTTCTCTGTAAAGATTGTTCGATCCTGTAGAGACATCGGAGAAATGCAGTGAAACAGGTGTCATCTATGCCATCATGATATCGAACTTGTTAATGCCAAGTCAGGATTAATAACCCCCCCCCCCAGAAGGTCGGAACTCTACCTTGTAGGTCATTTTCTTAAACACCCCTTAATAAGAAGCAACTCTGAACCATAAAACTTTGGATATGGCTTACGTCAATTAGATCTTAATTAGATCTTAATAGAATTCCATTGGATTTGTTAAAATCTCATGGATCAGAAAGGTGGTTGATTAATCAGGAGTAAACCCTGGTTATTATTAATGGGGGACATGGGCTCATGGGGGGTACCCTTTGGGAGCTATCCAAACTGATGATTTTTATAAAGATTTTAATTAAAAATCGATCATTTGGGGAATAGTTGTTTTTTGAAATTTTCAATGATCAACTTAAACCTGAAGTATAACAATGATGATTAAAAAAAAGGTAAAAAACAATTGGAAATAAATAGAATTGGAAATAAAAAATGTTGGATAAAAAAATGGATTTCCGAAGTGGTGGTTGATTAATCGGGGGTAGGCCCACCGGTTTAATAATCTGGGGGGACCACCTGTTTTTAAATTACATTTTTTTTGGGGGGAGGAGGAGGTTGATTAATAACGGGCTGTTGATTAATCCTGACTTGACATTATTGTGGAATCATTCACTGCGTTCACTTGTTGTTTTTCGGATATCATAATACTGAGCCTTTGTTTGTGCACTTTTGCAATTTTTAAGCATTTCCATTGCAACTACGTTTGCGCACCTTTGTTTGCAACTGAGGTCATCCACGGCATCATGGTACCGAGCTTATTTGGTATGTCAAACTCAGGAGTCGTTTTTTCAGTTTCGAACTGAAAGAGCAGATGCTTCGCATTGGATTGTGCGTTACATTCCTTGGCTCAGATGTGAACGAATGGACAAGATGCGTTTCGCTCAAGAGATGTGACGTTTGTAGGTGAAGCTGTAGTGGAAATATCGAAACCTGACGCTTTCAAGTAATACTTCTGTAGTCTGTACTCACATCATGTCGGGCCTGGCAGCCGATTGCTTTGCAGCTGCGGGGAGATTGCAATATACTTCGTTTCAAACAAATTCAGTTGATTTGAACGATGCGCTGTTGGTATCTATTCATGACTGGAAGGACGCCGGTTCGAGAGAATTGTACATCTACGATCAAGTGCACATGAACGGCCCTCCGGAAATGGGCCGCCATTTCTGGGGCCATTTGCCACTATCTTGGATGCATGAGCTCATGCTCGATTTCACATTGTATTACATTCTGTTTTCAAATGAAGAAGCAAGAGATGATGCCAACCGATTATGGGTCTTGGTGTTGAAAGATACTCGGCGGCAGCGCCCACATCGTTGGACATGACGGCAGTTAACAACAAACAAAGTTTTAGTGCACAAACATGTCGCATAAAGTATTTGGGGATTTAAGTGTGTTCTGCCATGGCAGCGAATGTCTTTGATGACCAAATTCTACGACACATTCTTTCATTTGTGCCTGGGAGCTCTGAATTGGCTCCAAAATATTCTTTGCAACCAGAAACCGGACACTATCTGGTAAAAGCTGGTTGGCCGGTTGTTTTGAAGAAAATGTGTCATTGGAAGGAGGCAGACACCACCATCTGTATTTGCTGTGGTGCCAACCAAGAACCCGGCGATCCAAACGAGTCAGACGATAGCTGGACATCTCAGCAAGTCTCTGCTGGCTGGGCAAAGGTCATGACCGTGACAATACCACACTTTCGTCATCATCATATGAAATATATCAAAAAAACAGTCAGAAGCATAGAATATGTTTGGAGGACAATGGCAGCCGAGAGATGTTACATCTGCGGGCACTGCAACGACTGCGTTGTGAATCTCGAGTATGAGCATCCTGCTGACTGGCTGGAAGATCTTTCTGTGTTCACAGAGATGCTGGAACTTAGGTCGTGTCCGTGGAGGTGCCCAGATAAAGATCGACCGCAGTAGCCGGATTGCTGCAGTAGTAAAAGCGGCAAACATGCCACATCTGCAGCATCATGGTACCGACCTTTGCTTGGAAGCAGCTTGTGGGAGCTGGAAGGCTTGCGTACCGAGTGGCACATGGAACTGAGTGCAACTGGCGCAAATTAATCTGTAGCAGTGTTCGTCTGGAGAGACTGTTCGTGACGAACATGCAAAACCAGTAGCCAACTGTTGTTTGTCTGTAAAGATTTTTTTTTTCCATCCTGTAGGGACATCGGAGAAATGCAGTGAAACAGGTGTCATCCTTGCCATCATGATATCGAACTTGCTATTGTGGAATCATTCACAGCATTCTTGCACGGACTTCTAGATTCTCTTGGATGCCATGGTACGGAGCCTTTGTTTGCCCACCTGTGTTTGCAACTGAGGTCATCCACGGCATCATGGTGCCGAGCTTATTTTGTATCTCAAAGAGCGGATGCCTTGCATTGGATTGTGCGTTGATCATGGTACTGAGCCTGGTCTTGTGCACTTTTGCGATTTTTTAGCATTTCCATTGCAACTATGTTTGCGCACCTTTGTTTGCAACTGAGGTCACCCAGTGGTGCCGCGCTTTGTGAGCGTCTGTGTGTAAAAGTCTGTGTGGAAAAGCGTCTGTGTGTAAAAGTGTCTGAGTGTAAAAGCGTCTGTGTGTAAAAGCGCCTGTATGTAAAAGTGTTTGTGTGTAAAAGCGTCTGTGTGTAAAAGGGTCTGTGTGGAAAAGCGTCTGTGTCTGTGTGCAAAAGCGTCTGTGTGTAAAAGCGTTTGTGTGTGAAAGTGTGTGTGCGTCTGTAAAAAGGCATCTGCATGTAAAAGTGTATGTGTGTAAAAGAGTCTGTGTATAAAAGCGTCTGTGTGTTAAAGTGTTTTCGTGTAAAAGTCTCTGTGTGGAAATGCGTCTGTGTGTGTGTGCATGAAAAACGTCTCTGTGTGAAAGCGTCTGTGTGTAAAAGTGTTTATGTGTAAAAGATTCTGTGTGTAAAAGCGTCTCTGTATAAAAGCGTCGCGTTTCTTCGCGTTCACGGAATGATGGTGCCGCGCCTTTTTCCGCAATGTGTGTGGGAATTACCATAATAAAATGAGATAGCACATGTCATTCGCAGACTCATGGCACTGAGCCTCCTGTGCACTTTTGTTGCTCACATTACATTTCTTCATGTTTTCTTTCTACCCCCCCCTTTCATTCTGTCTCTCTCTCTCTCTCTCTCTTGCTTTCTCTTTCTCTTTCTCTCTCTCTCTCTTTCTCTCTCTCTCTCTCTTTATCTCTGCCCCCTCTTTCTCTCTGTGGTTGCAAGACACATGTCATCTGATGCCCTTTACCAAATATTCTCTTCTTGATCAATCTTACTTTTTCACACCATATCTTTCCATAGCTCATATAAAATTCACAAACTATTCACCGACTATCTTTTACGACTACCATCCTCAGAGCTGCTTGAAAAACATCTTTTTGGCTCTCGGGCCAACCGTCGTCTAGTTTCCACCTTGGAGAGTGTTGGCCTGATCTACAGTAGCAAGCTTGCACCTGCTACTTTCCTGTGCCATCCTCAAAACAGAGGATCCAGCATGGTCAATGCCTACAATGCTCACAGGAAAGGGCATGACATTTTGCAAGCTGGTGTGAAGGCAGAGCTCTTGCCACCCAACTCTTTGGCACTTGAAGTTGCCACTGATTCCAAGCTCAAAGAGAGCCAGTTCAAGTTGAACAGGAAGATGGTTGCTGGCTCCAATGGCCTTCTTGCCCCCATTAGGGGGGATGAGCGCTTCCTCACACTGGCCAACTCTCACTTTGTTCAATGGGCCAGGGCCATGGACAATGGGTGCAAAGGGCCTGATGAAAACATTCTCATTGTCAGTTCTGACATGAAGCCCTTGCTGAAAGAAGGCTGGTCATGGAGAATCATTTCTGGTGAGGCTGAGAAGTTGTGGCCACAGCTTCCTGCATTTGCAGCCATGGCAATGAACAGCCACAACACCAACCAGATTACAAGCAATGAGTTGGAATGCATGATGCAACTTGCAGATCTTTACCAAGCAGGCATGAAAATGGATGAGGCAATCCTTGCTGTTGAACACAGCTCTCCCTCCTGCAAGAATTACTTGCAAGATGTCGCTTACTTTTGTAAGATGTACTGTGGTGGGCAGAACTTTCCTTTGCTGCAGTGCTTGGACCACTTCTGCAGCTTGGCAATGCTTGGCCCAAACCCTTTTGGTTCTTGAAGGATTTGTTTCTAGTGCCCTGTGCTTTACACTTCACTAGCATTGCAGCTGGCAGGCAAGAGCTCAGGGCATTCCCTTTTGATTGGAGAGGAGATGATGAACCACTTGGCCTTCTACAATTTCAAGATCCCTGGCCAATCCATGGCCCTCACAAGGGTTGCTCTTGCAGCTTGCATGCTTTCAAGTAGGAAGCACCAGGACAACATCAGCAAGCTCGTCTACAAAAGTGATTTTGACAAGGTGAAGGGAAAGGATACAACAAAGAAGTTTGATGAAATTTTGCATACTCTGTGGGCAGAGGCACAAGATCAGAAACATGAGAAGTCCTTGGCCTTCAATGCTTTTGGCACTGCCTGTGTTAGAATGGTCTTGCATCTCCTCCAAAAGGAGAAGGCAGCCAAACAGGACACCTTTGAATCTTTCCAAGAGATTGTGCAGAAGTTCCAAGATGACTTGTCTGGAGGTGGTGTACCTGCCCCACCTGCAGCCCCGCCTGTTCTAGCTACAAGTTCTGCTGGCTCTAGCAAAGGTGTGCAAGATTTGGTGAACTGCTCTAGCAAAGAGATTGCCCTGGTTCAGAACAGCCACATCAAAGTTGGTGAGAGGCCAGTGTGTTTCAAAAATAATGTGTGGTGTTTGTACATTGGTGTGTCAGTGGCTTTGTATTGAAAAGAAATACAAAAACTAAGAAGCAGAACTACATTGAGTCATCACAACATTGTCAGGTACATTCATCCTGACCATGAAGACAAGATCTTCGTCCTGTCCTCCTTGGAGGATACTGGTGCAACTTTCCAATACACCCCTCTTTTTGGAAATGCTGTGGACCTCACAGAAAGTTTGGATGCCCTGAACAAGTGGAGACCCACAAAGAAGGAAAATCAATCCCTGTTGGACCAGCAGCTCTGCATTCAAAGGCTTCCTCATAAATATGAACTTGTGCTGAAGGACATGGAAAGGATTGAAGTGAATGCTTTGCTGGTGGATGCATACAAGCAGAACCTTCCCAAAGATGATGCCATGATTGGCTTCACTCAGCATCCCTCCAATGTGGTCTTGCTCACGAAAGCAAAGAAAAAGAAAATCACACTGTTTCCACTTGGGCAATGCAGTGCTGTTGCTGACAAGGATTTGCAACAAGTGCTGAACAAAGGCAAACAAGTGTTAGTCTACTACAATGGCAAGGCCTATGCAATTCAACCCTTCAAAACTTGGACTAGCTTTCAGAAGGCTGACAGTGGCTGTCTTTGCCCTTACTTCTTTGTGAGGGCTTGTGAAGATGAGGAAGATTCCAAGCTGGCAACTACCTGGGTGGATCACCAGGGATTGAAGATTCCTGTGTTGCAAAACCAGGGCCCCCTGGAGGCACACACTTTGCTCTACAAGGCTGATCATGATCCAGCTTGTGCGCGTCCAAATGAGGCAAAACAGCCACCCAAGAAGAAAGCCAAAAAGGCTCAGGACTAGAAAGGACCTTTGTGTGGGAAAAAGATTGGCAATGCACAATCAAGAAAGCTTTTATGTTATGAAAGAAAAGACACATGCATATTCACAATGAACTTGCCAGTCCCAACATTTGTTTTGACTACACATATCATGTTCAGCCTAATGGGCTTTATTTTTTTTCTTCTTTGCCTCTCAGGGCTTCAGTTTTTCAAATGTTGGAACCCTATAGTTTTTTGTGTAACTAAATGGTCATATGCCAGTTGTTTCTAGCACCAACCAAGTTTCACAATCTTTTACTGTCAGGTGAATGAAACTCAATTTTATGCAGTTGCTGTTTTGTTCACTCAAGCTTGGTAATGTCATGTATACCAGTTCAGTTATCAGGATGATGCAAGCTTTTGGCAGTGCTTCTTTAACAGGTAACAAACACCAAATGTTTCTGCACACAGCACTATATACATATGAATTTGTAGCCAGCCCTGTACCAGCCATGAAAAGGGAGCCTCCTGATGATGATGCGCCATGGAAAGAAAACAGGAAAAGGCCCAAGCTACCACAACCTGTGGCCACAAGGAAGCAGCATACGGCCAAGGCTTCAGTCCCAGAAGCAGCCATAAAAAAAGAAGAGTCTTTGATGTCATTTAGAATGTAAAGGTTTCCAAAGAATGTTGATCAATTATGACTTTGTTTGCCAAGGATTTCTTCATGTGGTTTTTTAAAGCCCCCAATGATTCCATATCTCATCCATTTTTTTGTGCCCTCCCAGGAGAACTCTCTACAGCATGGTGCTCTTGGAGAACAGATGCTGGGACTTTTGGTTTCCTTTGCTCAGAAGATGGATGAGGCTGGCATTTTGCCAGAAGTTGATGAAGCTGCAGACAATCCCGAAGATCCATCAGTTGTGAGCCAACCACCTGGAGTCACTGTTAAGGCTGGACCACCTCTACCTCCAGAACACTTGACTTCCTCAGGTTCTAGTAGAGCAGCAGCAGCATCTAGCTGCAGTTCTGGATGCCAAACCAGACCAGCATCAGTGCTGACTCCTACCTCCAAATATTCTTCAGCTCTGCCATCTGCACCTTCTGACTACAGACCCCAAGGACAAACCAGAGGAAGGTTGGTGTGCAGCCCTGAGCAAATGAAAAGTTTCTATATGGAGATGGAGAAAGGCCCAAAGCTTCAGCAACAACACCAACCACTGATTCTATGATTGAATATTCAGTAAGAGTTTCAACTGTGTTTGGAATGTGTATTTGTTTGCAAGTATTCATGGTGTCATCCCAAATCTTTAAATATTCTGGATTTATAAACTTTTGTTTTGAATTGCATTGCGCATCATCAGATTTTGCACTCAGGACCCTGGGTGGATTCCACCTGTGCAAGGAGGTGGATGGTTTCGCAAAATTGGTGGGCTCATTGTGGCTTGGAGAATGGGAGATGTCCACCGCATGAGAAGATTGCTCCCCAACATGAAGCTGTACACTGAGAGCTTGAAGGCCTTTGTACAGGCTCATGGATGGCCAAAGAATTTAGATGGTGAGTTTGGACTCAATGCACCATAGCTTCCTACTCTTGCTGTGAAACAGCAAGCATGGCTGGAAAAAAGGTAAGTGATCTAATTTGATAGTTGGGAGTCAGTATAGACCAAATATCTCAAATTGGAATTCAATTTGAAATTTGAAGTATTCAATTCGTCATTTTTTATTCAAGTTGAAATGAAAACATTTTGGATTTCAATTTGAAATTCAAATTGAAATGAAAACATGTTGGATTTCAATTTGAAATTCAAATTGAAATGAAAACATTTTGGGTTTCAATTTGAAATTCAAATTGAATTGAAAACAATTTGGGTTTCAATTTAAAATTCAAATTGAAATTAATACATTTGGATTTCAAATTGAAATTCAGATTGAATTGAAAACAATTTGGGTTTCAATTTCAAATTCAAATTGATATTACTTACTATATTTAATATAGTACAGATTTTGATGTACTAACTAGTTTTTATTTTACTAAATAGCCCTTGGGGCTTTCATTTTTGAATGAATCAGCACATAGGTGCTTTCATTTTGTTTTGTTACAAACAAGAGTTGCTGCATGCAAATCAACACTGCAATTGTGGCTCTCAGCACTAAGCTTGTATCAATGGATGCCTAGGAGGTGCTCCAGTGCTAGTGATGCTGCAGTGAGTGAAGAGCTTCGTTCATGGACAGATAGCTCTGGATACAGGACTTTGTGGCATGTGACAGTGTCTGCTTCTGGCTGGGGGGACTGGCCACTTGGATTTTACATCCAATGACCTGTTTACCCTGTGCACACACTGGCTTCCAGTGAGTGGTCTAAGCATTTGGTGAACCTCTCTACTAAGGAAAGATGCCTTGGCCTACTTCAAGGAGAATGATCAGCCAGGTCTCCTGCCTGGCAGCTTCAAGAACTATGTGAAAATGATGTACCTCATGGCTGGAGCTCAATGTCCACCAGATGAAGCCATCTTCTCCAATGATGGCTGAAACCAGTCCAGGCTTTTGGTAGATTAGTGCCTGACTAGACAACTCTTCTATGGAGGTCAAAGCTTGTGCAGAGAAAACATTTTGCTTTGCAAGCAAAACTGGTTCACTAGCTTATTTTTGGGTTTTTGCTCATGGAGCTTTCATCACTTTTGCTTTAGCCCATGGGGCTTTGATCACTTTAGTGGAATAAACTAGTCCTGGTTATAAAAAAAGAAATTGGTTGCAAACACTAACATAATGTAATGTGCATGGTTTTAAATATGTGATCCAAATAAGCTTTTGGACACATACCATTGCACTAGCCTTTTGGGCTTTCATTTAATGAGTAAACTGTGCATGCATTATGCTCGCACTTTGGGTTTCCAGACCTGTAGCTCAATTCAGTTTAGCTGTGTTGGAGCTATGGCTTCATGGGGTGTGCAAGATCTCCTCAAGGAAATTGCTGACATGGAGGTCATCAGCATGAGGAACCCTGGCTCAGATCTTTTACCAAAGATGCAGCAAGCTTTGGTGTCCAAGATTGAATGCACTCACTTGATTACACCCTCCAACTATGTGAAGATCATGGATTGCTTGGAGAAGTCTACTTTACCTGAACAGATCAAACAGGCTCTCTCCACCAGCTTTGAAACCAAGTGTGCGGCTGGTGTTCAAGGCCCAGTCACTTTGCAGATTAAACCTCGAAGTATGACTATGCCTTGGAATTACCTTTGCAGATCTGGATGGGAAAAGATTCAAGCTCAAGGGTGTCCACAGTGGAAGCAAGCCACATCTTGATCAAGAGGGTCAAGCTTTGTGGGCTGAAGAGTTTGAAGGAAGACACCAATAAGTTCATCACTTGCATGCTGGTTGCTTTGCAAATGCAGCTTGTGAAGACAGTGCCCCCCAAGCATGAGATGTACAAATCGGCACAATCAGTGGCCAACACTTTTGGGGCCATTGTTGTGGAGCCTTTGTTTGGTGGCTTGCCCCAGTACCCACCAAGCCCCTTTGAGTTGGGAGAGGCTTGTGTGTTGAAACATTGAACATTTCAATGTTTTCTTTGAATGTTTTTTATTTTTTCACACTGCCAGTGGAACAAGTTGCACACACTTCCATTTGAATATTTCAATTTTGGTATTAAAGCACTTGCTAGCAATCCCCTGCAGGCATTCCTTGCAGCTGTCTACAGCCCTGATGACCTACCTTTGACACAAGCACCTGAGAATATTGTTTCCTGTGCAATTTGCATTGGCAAACAAATCAAAATCAGAGGCAGCCCCAAAGAGCTGCATGCTCCAGTGGTAGCATCAGGCAGTAGCCAAGATTCTGTGGCAGCCAGCATGGGCAATCATATGGGGCACATGATGGCCATGGGCAACCACTTTATGTCACTTGTCGACCTGTGACAAGGCAAAGGCTTTGGATCAGCTTTTGGCTTTGAAGATGGGTGATCATGAGCAACCAGTGCTTTTGAAGAGTGCCAGTGGCAGCACTTCTGCCAGTGATGGTGTGGCAGGCTTGCTGAGTCAGAGGGCTTTACCTTCAGCAGCAGAACCTGCTGCATTGCCTTTGCCTGCGCCAACCACCTCTGCAGAAGCAACACCTGAAGATGACAGCAAGGCAAATGATGTCAGCAAGGGGGAGCCCAGCAAGACCTTGGAGGAGTATGAACTTCAAGCACGCCAAAGCCTTTCTAAAAGGAAGGCAAAGAGCTTGGACAAGTGCCTCAAGAGACCAGCTGCTTGCAAAGCAAAGCCTGGACCTCAGCCCAAGGCAAAAGCCAAGCTCCCACCTTCCTCTGCCAGCAAAAAATCCCTTGTGAAGAAGGGCATCTTTGGATGCCTTAGGTGTCGTGGAAACAGCAAAGGATGTAGCACCTGCTGGAACCCAGATTTCCAGGGTTTGCGTTTTTCTTCCAGGGAGGAGTGGGTTTACTGGAAGCGGCAGCAGGAGCATGGCAAGTGAAAGCATTTGCCTGCTGCCTGTGGCTTTTGGAACAAAGTTCAGGGGTTGGGGTTGCCTCTCTTGGCAAAAACCATGCAAACAAAAGCATGGACTGGTCTGATCTGACATTCAGCTCTGTGGCAAAATTGGCACACAAACAGCAGTCAGTCTTAAAATTTTCTTTGAAGAACGTCCACTTCAGCTTTTTTGTGCAGATTTTTTTTGATAGATGCATCTTTTTGAAAGTTTGCTATTTGAGCTTTCATTTGCATATTAGCCTTTCAGGGCTTTCATGTTGAGTTCAAGAAGATCAAGTTTCAAAAAACAACTTTTGGATCCATGCAGCCTCAAGGGGGATCAAAACCATGCAGCTCCATTTGCAATCATGCAATCATTTATACAAGTGGCTTTGCATGCATAATCCCAAATACTTGTCAGGCAATGGATGTTGTGTCCAGCAAGCAAAGCACCAACACTTGCTTCAGATTTTTGTTTAGGACCCTTGACCAATGCCAGACTTTGCAAATTTGCAAAGCTTCAGACAGAGGGTGCCTTTCTGCCAATCTGCGCTGGCAGCAATTCTTACATTGGCAAAAGAGGAAGGCATACCTGAGTGCCACAAAAGGAACGATATCAGGTCCAGTGTCCAGCAATTGGTTCAAAGTTTGCAGCTTTATGGGCCATTGCTGATCACAATATCAGCTCTCACTGTGCTTGGTGAATCTGAGCCCTTGGTTTTTGGTAACATATTCAGCTATTTGGCAGGGGCCTATGCGGCAGGAGGTGCTTTTGCTGAATACTTTGAAAAAACACATGCAAAGTGTCCCAGTTCTTTTTCCAAACCTTGGAAGTGCATATTATATGCTGATGAGCTCCACCCAGGAAACCAGCTGGCCAGTGGGGCAAGAAAAACATGGGCCATGTACTTTTCCTTTGCTGAATTTGGCAAAGATTTTATCCAAGTCTGACCTTTGGTTTATACTTTAATGGTCAAAAGGTCTGAGCAGGTTGCTCAGTTGCAAGCCAACATTGGGCAGTGCTTCAGGCCGATCCTTGAGCACATGCTTGACAACAAATTTGCCCACCCCCATGCTGGAGTGCTGCTGCAAAGGGTGGCTTCAAGGTTGAAGCTATACTGGACTCTTGGATTTTTTCTTCAAGATGGCAGTGCTCAAAAATTCACCTTTTCAAACAAGCAAGACAGTGGGTCCAGAGTGCGCATGGCTTGAAAAAGGATTTTCAGGCTGTCATCCAAAGATGATGACCAAGGCCAAAAGGAGATTTCAAAATACATCAGACACAGCCAGCTTGAGATTGCCACTGACCAAGAGATTCTTGACTCATGGTCAAGAATGGAAAGCAACGCCAGTTCATGCAACAAGGCACAGCTCAAGACTTGGAGCCAAGCAGCTGGCATTGATTGGTCTGAGAAAGCACTTTTGGCCAGCCCCACACTTAGGAAGCAAAACCTTTTGCAGCCCATCAGCCAATACATGCATGATTTTATGCATGGGCTGGCTTCCAATGGTGTGCTGAACTGGGTTACCTTTCTTTTGATCCAGGCATTATCTGATTATGGTGAGGTGGACATCTGGAAGCAGCTTCATGGATTTGTGACATTGTGGGTGCACCCAAAGAAAGGCAAGGTTGCTGTGCACAGGCTCTTTGACACCAAAGCTGCTGAATCCCACAAGAAAGCTGGAAAATTCAAGTGCTCAGCAAGTGAAATGCTGGGTGTTTGTGAAATTTTGGCATATTATGTGGAATTATGCTGCCTTCCCCATGGACTATGCACTTCAGCTTGTCAATGTTTCTTGGCTTGGTGCAAAGTGTTGAACTATTGTGTGGCAATTCCTTCATTGCAAAGGCCTTGCCACAAACACTTGCTTCAATTGGTTGAACAAGCATTGGCTTCTACCATCAATGCAGGTTGGTCACAGGAGTTCAGACCAAAGATGCATTGGCCATTGCATTTCAGTGATGCCTTGAAGCTTCATGGCATACTCCTTGGAGTATGGTCTTTGGAAAGGAAGCACCAGGACATAAGAAAACATGCAAACCTTTTGTGCAACACATCAGCCTATGAAAATTCTTTGCTTGCTTCAGTGATTGCTGAGCACATCCATTCATTGGAAACACATATGGAATGTTTCAGAGATGGGTATTTCTTGGAAAATGTCAGAAAGCCAACCAAGAAGATGATGAACGCTCTTCAAAGCAGTGGCTTGCTATTTGTTGGTAGCAACTGCATGTGTGCTTCCTCATGCAGAGTGTCTTCTGGAGCTACCATCACAAATGGGGATGTGGTGTATTTACAATCAGCACCCACCTTGCCTTTCTGTGCTGGCCAAGTCCATTGCTTCTTGCAATTTTTCTTTGGGGAGGTCGCCCTTGTGGAGAAGTACATTGCTGGAGACAAGGCATTATCCACATTGGTGTCCAAGTGGAATGTACCCACCCCAAGACAGTTGACATTTGAATCTTTGGAAGAAATTCTTTGCTCAGTGACATATCCAAGTGCCAAAGGCAATGTCACTTGTCTCACCCCACCATATTTGTTGGCCCCTCAATGAAAAAAATCCCTTGTGGCAATATGTGCCATGAAGATGTCTTAGGGTTCCTTTCAAGAGTGTTTGTGTTAAGCTTCTACTTGGTGCCTGTTTGTGCCAAATAAATTCTTTTACATTTTTTGTTAGCCTTGCAGGGCTTTCATTTTTGCCTTTGAGCCATACATTGGGCTGTCAGCTTTCATGGAATATTTTTTAGTTTTGATTTTTTGATTCAAAATTTCATGGTAAGTATGTTAAAAAAGTAACTTTTTCAATTAGTTATAACTAGTTAGTAACTGTTAGCTAACTATGTGAATTTTGTTAACCTGCTAGCAACACCCCAGCCCATCTAAGTACATAGAGCTTTCTGGAGGAGCTGCGGCGCGGTGGCCGCCGCTGGCCCGCGGCTGCCTTTTGCCTGGCAGGCGCAGTACATAGAGCCTCCGCACTTCCCTTTTGCGTGGCAGGCGCAGTACACAGAGCTTTCTGGAGGAGCTGTGGTGTGGTGGCCGCCGCTGGCCCGCGGCTGCCTTTTGCCTGGCAGGCGCAGTACACAGAGCCTCCGCACTTCCCTTTACAGAGCTTTCTGGAGGAGCTGCGGCGCGGTGGCCGCCGCTGGCCCGCGGCTACCTTTTGCCTGGCAGGCGCAGTACACAGAGCCTCCGCACTTCCCTTGTGCGTGGCAGGCGCAGTACATAGAGCTTTCTGGCGGAGCTGCGGCGCGGTGGCCGCCGCTGGCCCGCGGCTGCCTTTTGCCTGGCAGGCGCAGTACACAGAGCCTCCGCACTTCCCTTTGGCGTGGCAGGCGCAGTGCACAGAGCTTTCTGGAGGAGCTGCGGCGCGGTGGCCGCCGCTGGCCCGCGGCTGCCTTTTGCGTGGCAGTCAGCCGTAGACAGACACAGAGCCTTGCGTGGCAGGGGCAATACACAGAGCTCCACTGCTCATCACAACTCCTCACAGCTCCACTTCTGACAGGTCCACTTCTCATCACACCTCATCACAACTTATCACATCCCAACTCATCACAGTTCCACTTCTCACACCTCGCTTCTCACACCTCCCCGAAGTTCACATGTAAATCTCACATACATAAAGGCTTGACATGTGGGGTTATCCGGTCCTTTTATTTTTTCCTAGGGCGTCCAGGGGGGTTGCCTGAAACAAATTGAAACCTTAATGAGAACCGACTTGAAGTACATCAAGCACTTCGATCTAAGCTGGGTTGGCTTAAAACTTATATGGATCTGAAATTGAGTTGAGTCGAAGCGGAATCTAAGCTAGTTTTCTTCAACGGAATTTGCGTGAAACTGCTGTTGAATTTGAGCTGAACTGACTTAGAATACAGTAGTTGGAAGTGAAACAACCTCAGACTGTCTCTAAGCACTTGGAGCTCACTTTGAAGTGGCTTGAGTCTGAATTAGACCTGATTTCCCTTTGGATTTGTGTGAAGGTCCGCACAGTTGCGGGACAGAGGTTTTGTAACAGATTTGTTCTGTCAAGCCGTGGCAGTGGTATCACAGGTGTTGTTTGTGAACAGTCGGTAGGGATTCCGTGCACCATATTCCCGGTGCAGTGGAGCAGCGTGACTCCTCTTGTGGACACGCCACTGTCCTTCAGGCCACCCAACCCAGGGCCACCAGGCCCATCCATTCCCAAGCCATCCATTGAGCCATCCAGTCCTGCCAGTCGTGGAGTGCAGTCGGAGCGCAGTCAATGCAGATCAACAGAGTCAACAATCGCTTACAGCTCAGCTGTATTACATGTTGCTGCAAATAGAGCATGCGGAGATTCATTGCCCGATATATATTTCCACGGAAACATGTTACCGTCATGGAATTTCAGTAGCTGCATGAGCTTCTGCGAAACAAGCTGGATTGTTTAACAACGTTTATGTGCCGGGCATCTGAGCCGGCCCCCGCTGTTGTTACTTTTTGACATTACACTAAAAACAACATCATAGACGAGGGGGGTGGGGGGGGTGGGGTGGGGTGGGATAATAGCGTCATTTGCTGTACGTTCTCATGCACTTGCACACATACGTCATGCTACGCTGCTGTACGTTCTCATGCGCTTGCACACATACGTCATGCTACGCTGCTCTACGTTCTCATGCACTTGCACACATACATCATGCTACGCTGCTGTACGTTCTCATGCACTTGCACACATACGTCATGCTACGCTGCTGTACGTTCTCATGCACTTGCACACATATGTCATGCTACGCCGCTGTACGTTCTCATGCACTTGCACACATACGTCATGCTGCGCCGCTGTACGTTCTCATGCACTTGCACACATACGTCATGCTACGCTGCTGTACGTTCTCATGCACTTGCACACATACGTCATGCTACGCTGCTGTACGTTCTCATGCACTTGCAGATCGTAGGGCGGGTGTTAGGTGGATGGTTATGGATATGTAAATGATGATGATGATGATGATGATGATGATGGTGATGGTGATGGTGATGATGATGATGATGATGATGAAATTGCTCCTGATGCTAAGGTTTTGTTTTTCAGCGTTTTGTGGTCCCCCCTGTAAAATGTTTGAAAAGTGACAACAGCGGGGCCCGGCTCAGATGCCCGGCACCACGTTTATGTGCTGCTTACCAGCGGTTGCCAGTTGCTGTCCAAGTTGAGAACAAGATATTTCATTTTGTACAAAACAAAGGATCAGTGTCGCAAAATCACCACAGGTGACAGGAGAAACAAGGAAAAGTCTCCGCACTTCACGCCACAAATGCAGGAGATAGTACGGTAGAGTTTCATAGATCTTCCAGATCCAGACTGATCCAGATCAAATGGAACAAGGATAAATTTATTTTTTGTTGAGCGCGCGAAGCTCTGAACGGATTTTAGCAGAAACGTATCAATATGGCGAGAACGAAATAATTGACACGCCACAATTTTCTGCCTGTCCTCCATTGGTGGGTGATACAGGTGAAATAGGTGAACCGGTTGCATTCCGACCCCTAGTGGTAGAGCAAACTTATTTATCTTCTTTTTTTTCACGGACTCTGTAACTTCTCGTCTTTGCATCTAGTCCATGTTCTACCAAGCAGAAATGATCAGAAATGCAATCAGCCTTTCACTCCTCCGCCGAAGCCATCAAACCCTTCTAGAGACGGCGGAAAATCTTCTTCATCGTCCTCCTCCTGGGCCAAATCGATGCTGCGACTGAAAGCGCTCAACAAGTATGTGACACGTGACTGTGTCATTTTTGGTCTTGACCTACAAAGCAATTGTTTGAATTCCCAAGGAAGCAACGAAGGGTCCAGTCCAATCTCCAATTGTTGGTTGACGGTTTTTGAGACCCTGCTTCATACGACACCAGTTTTTTGCACTTTGCATCTTGCTTGAAAATTTTTGACTTTTGACAGTAGGTCCAGCTACAAACCTTTACTGTAATAAATAAAGAGAAGCTAAGAGCAAAATCGTTGCATTTCTGATTTGCAAGCATGTCACATGTACCGCTAGGTCATTCCAATAGCCTTGGTGAGGAAAATGTACGTGATTGATCGTGCTTGTCGCCGCGCCTCATTCAAGTCATTGATTCTCACAGCCAATTGCTTCAGTAGGGCATCCCTGGAAGAGCAGCCAGTCTGGCAATGATATGGTCTGTTCAAGAAAAATCAGCAAGTCTTTTTTCAAAACAAACTTGTGAATGCCCGGGAAACGAATCAGAACCAGCTAACTGCACTGCAAAGGTTGGAATCAACCCAAACCGAACTGCGCCAAATGTTTTGGGAAAGGCAACAGAACTGACCCTGAAATGGTCCAAACAACCAAGAAACCTCGCACATATCATTTTTTGATGTTTTTAGCTTCTTTAGAAACTTTTAAAAAAAACATTTGGGATGGTTTGCGAAGGGGCAGGGCGCTTGGAAATAAACCATGATCAAATCTCGTTTTGCTTTTTGGGGAGGCCTGGGGGAGGGGGAAAAAAGGCAGCCTAGAGATTGCAAAAGCCGCACAAGGCCGATCATGGAGTCGAACCTAATCGAATTGAATAGGCACATGAACTTAAACCGGAAGGAACCGCAAACACTTTCAAACCAAACGACTTCGATATCACTTACTAGAGAACGAAGCGAGCCGAAACGAACCAAACACACACGCATGCGTTGCTTTTAGTGCGCAATGATAGCGACGGCCATTCACATACACATCTATGTTTCTCTCAGCGGTTTTGAGTGAATTTGGCCATTCCTGTCTCTTTGGATCCCATTGAAACTTCACATGAACTATATAGAGGCACTTCTAGCAAACGTTGCCTTGGAAACTGCTCAGCTATCCTTGGTAGGCTCATCTTTTAATGCCAGTGATATTGACCTGTGGTAACTTTTGTTCATGTCATTCATGTCCATTCGCATGTGTGCCTGTCATCCTTCAACATCTCGGCTTTGTCCATCGAAACACCCAGAACTTCAGAGATCTTCTTTGGCTCTGGCATTGGGACCTTGAAGTGAACCATCTCTCATTCTCTCTCTCTCACAGTGCACGATTCAGCCAGAAGCATCAAGGAGCAAAAGACTGATAATGGAATGGCAAGCGTCGTCACGTGTCAGCACAATAAAGATATATCAAGACTGTCCACATCTAACATCGATGTTCCGTCCAACCCGGAACTTGCTCCACACTTGCAATTATAAACATCCTCATCATCCTCATCATCCTCATCACCATCACCATCACCATCAGCATCATCACCATCACCATCACCATCATCATCATCATCAACATCAGCACCAGCAGCATCATCATCATCATGATCATCATCATCATCATGTTCATCATCATGTTCACCATCATCATCATCATCATCATCATCGTCATCATCATCATCATCATCACATCATCATCACCATCACCACCACCATCACCATCACCATCATCATCGCCATCACCATCACCATCATCATCACCATCATCACCACCATCATCATCATCCCTTATGAAGATAAGTTGATGCTATTATCAGATTCAGCATAGTTGCCACAGGGGGTGGAAGATTTGTTGATCCCTTATGAAGATAAGTTAATGTGATTACCCCATTCAGCGTATGATGATGATGGTGATGATGATGATGATCATGGATCACAAATACATCTAGATATAGAAAGTCCACCGGCATGGCAATTCAAAAATACGCCACCGCAACCCTTCCGCAATTCCGGCGCGGAGCAACGTCAGGGTTGCACCGAACATGTTTCATCATATTACGTCATATTTCAACATTCTGACTTACATTCTCTCCATTCATAGAAGGGCCCGTACATCGCAACCAATGACGTCGATCACAACACTCCGAACTCTCAGCCAAACCCCAAAGGACTCCACACTCTCTAAATACATAAGAACATTATATGAACAAGACCCATCAAGACCCTGGATGTATAGCAGGAAGCAACCAAGACCAGACTATGTACGCATGATTGCAGGACCCAAGATGTGCCGAAGACAGTCTGACCCGCACTGATAGCTGAAGTTGACACCTCCGCTTCTTGTTCTTGTGCCGCTTGCTGCGTTCGATACCTCAAGCTGCTTTTTCAGCCAAGACAATACAAGGTCTATATGGTTACCCTTCTCAATTCCACAGGGATTCCAAACCTACTGACTGCAAAACCATGGAATTGGTAATCTACACTCTCAAATCTCTTGATGATCTGGAACGTCCTCATCCGTTGTCCTCCTATTTATATGTTTCCTTCTCTCTGAAGTGTTGTCAGCTGCGGCGCATCTCAAGAACCTGGTCCAACTGCTTCGCTTTGTCGATGCGTTTCTGCATGTGCGCACGAATGTCAGGCACGCCGGGAACCTGGACACTTGCCAGTCAGCAGCAGCATCAGGAGCACATGTATCCAATTGTAACGGACAAGATGGGGCAAGTATCCAGACCTGCTAGCATGGCTAGCCAAATGTGCGCATCACCTGTCATAACGGTATTTGCCATGCTCCAAATGCCCCAAATGCTCCAGATGCTCCATATTGCTACTCTGACTCAGCTGGTCTTGTATCCCTTCCTTTTGGTATGTCTTGAGTCCTGGCCTTCCCCATCTCTGCAGTTGTGCCATCAGGCATCAAGAATTCACCGGAGGGATCCCCGATGCCCGTAACTTGCTTCATGAAGGACTCAAAAGAGGCTTTCCTAAGGACTGCAACGGGGAACAAGAGCTTCATGCAAAAGCGTTGTAGAACCGATAAATACGTCATGCGCAGTAGAGGATTGCTTTTTTTCGTGCATGGCCATGGCCATGCCGGGTGGTGGGTGTCGGGTGTCCGCGTGGCCACGGCCACGGCCATGGCCATGCCGGGTGGTGGGTGTCGGGTGTCCGGGTGTCCGGGTGGCCGGTGCGTGGCCGGTGCGTGGCCGGTGGGTGGCCGGTGCGTGGCCGGTGTGGCGGTGGCCGGTGGCCGGGTGGCCGGTGCGTGGCCGGGTGGCCGGTGCGTGGCCGGTGTGGGTGGAAGGGAGGGGGCCGGCGGCCGGGTGGCCGGGGGCGGCGGGGCGGCCGGGTGGCCGGGTGGCGGGTGGGCCGGGTGGGGTGGCCGGGTGGGGGCCGGCCGGGTGGCCGGGTGGGTGGCCGGGTGGGTGGCCGGGGCCGGTTGGCCGGTTGGCCGGTTGGCCGCGGCCTTGGCGGCTGTTTGCCATCCGCTTGCATACCAAGCAGCTTGTCTTTTCGTGCATTTCGGGGAATTTACCCATACACATCAGCGCTAATTATACACGCAGGCCAGGAGCAAAGCAGCAAGCCTGCGCGGCAAAAGAAGAGCAAGTAGCGTAGCAGATGCACATGCAACAGATGAGCCAGTAGCGTAGCAGCAAGTCTGCGTGCACATACTTAAGTAGTGTATCAGCAAGTCTGCGATTTATCTATCTATATTAGTTGTCCATTCTTTCTATTGGCTCTATTCGTTCCAATCTATTTATCTTGCGAACTATCTAATCTACTCTACTCTACTTCACTCTAATCTAGTCTAAACTAGTCTAAACCAATCTAATCTACTCTAACCAAATCTAATCTACTGTGCCTACGGCCTATTCCATTTACGCTAGGCCCTAGTCGATCTAATCAGTAAAACCCTGAATCTAACTTATCTAATCTATCTAACCTCTCCATCCTTTCACATCAATCTAGTCTATCCAATCGATCTAACCCAATCTATCTAATCTACCAAACCGATCTACTTTACTTAATCCATCTAATCTATCTAACCGAACTAATCTATCTATAATCAATCCATCCATCCATCTGTCTATCTAGCTATCTATCTATCCATCGACTGATCCATGGATCGATCGATCTGTCCATCTTTCTAGGCTGATCTTTCTAAACCCAACTTGACAATCAATCGATCAATCAGGTCTACCAATCTATCTACCTATCTTGCTTTACACCTATCTAATCTGATTAATCTTCCTAATCTTTTGATCAATCTAACTACCAATCCTACCTTAATCTATCTAATCTATCCAGCCACTCTATACTCTATATAATCGACCTAATCTATCTAGCGTACCTAATCTAGCTAATCTGGCTAGTCTAGCTGATTTATCGATCTAGATATCTTTCTTCTCTATTCTTCAAATGATTCTACTTCTGCCTCTTTTCTATGCCTAGTTCATTCTTATGCATCCAACCGTATTCTATTCTAGTCTGTTTCTATGCTGCTCTATTTTGTTCTACTCTATATCCATCAAACCCGCCTAGTCTATCTAATCTACCTCATCTAACCTATCTACTCTATCAAATCGATCCCATCTGTCTACTCGATCAAATCTATCTATTCCATCCAGTCTATCTAGCCTACATAATCTTTCTAATCTTTTCAATCTATCTAATCTATCTAATCTATCTATTCTATCTATCTATCTATCTATCTTGTCTTATCTGTTTTTTTCTAACCTAACCTAATCTAATCTAATCTATCTATCTATCTACCTATCTTATCTTATCTTACCTATCCTAATCTAATCTAATCTAATCCTATCTCTCTATCTATCTGTCTGTCTATCTATCTACCTGTCCATCTATCTATCTATCCATCTATCTATCTATCTTTCCATCCATCCATCTATCTATCTATCTGTCTATCTGTCTATCTATCTATCTACCTATCTATCTATCTACCTATCTCCCTATCTATCTATCTATCGATCTATCGATCTATCTATCTATCTATCTATCCATCTATCCATCTATCCATCTATCCATCTATCCATCTATCCATCTATCCATCTATCCATCTATCCATCTATCCATCTGTCTATCTGTCTATCTGTCTATCTATCTATCTATCCATCCATCCATCCATCTAATCTATCTAATCTATCTAATCTATCTAATCTATCTAATCTAGCTAATCTATCTAATCTATCTAATCATCCCCTTGTGGTGCACCCAGGTGGGGTTGAGCCCCTGCAAAAATAAAATGAAATCAAGGGGGCCCAGGCTACTGACCCCCAAAATGCAAAAATGAAATCAGGGGAGTTCAACCCCACACGTTGCGCAAAGAGAAAATCATGAAAATCACCAGTCATCCAACTGAGGGGTTTGCAAAAATAAAATCAAGAGGTTCCAGAAATAAAATCAAGAAGGTTCCAAGCCAGCATCCAAAATGTTCCAGAAATAAAACTGAAGGGGTTCAAGGTCAGCCTATGTGTTTGTGAAATCAGCTGAAAATCGCGCATCTTCCTTTTCTCGCTGCTCCGGCTCGGTATGTCTTTGGTTTCCCGTCTTTCCCAATCACATCCTACAACAAATACTGTGGCGGTTCACAATCCATAGTTTTTTTTCTTGTTTGTGGCGTGTTTGTTCTGGCTGCATCCTTTTCTGCCCAAACAATAGTGACCACCAAACAAAGCATAGATTCAATATATTCCAACCATACTACCCAACAAAATCCTACAAGCTTGGGAACCTTGGATTTTATTTTCCCCAAAATCTATCAAATATTGAATCCAAACATATCCAAACCCACCAATTCCAACACAAGAGGTGTGTTCCAACATGTTCCAACAAAACAAAAAGGTAAGCAAAACGCAAAAATAAAACCAAAGGGACCCAACCTAAAGCTACTCCACCAGCTGCATTGGGGTTGGTTCTTGGTCTTGGCCCATGTCCCAAAAATAAAATCATAGGGGTCTGACCTACTCAAAACTTATGATAAGCACCTTCTGAAAAATAAATTTAAAAATATTTCGGGCTCAAGCCCCTTGATTTTATTTTTGAACACCGCTTAGGGATTCTAATCTATCTGAATCTAATCTATCTAATCTATCTAATCTATCTAATCTATCTAATCTATCCAATCTATCTAATCTATCTAATCTATCGTATCTATCTTACCTATCCATTTATCTACTTATTTTATCTCCGTCAGATTCTTACGTGGTATGTTGCAACTTTCTGCGCATTGCCATGCGATCAGCACATATACACAATCGCGTAGTTGAGTCAACTCGCCTCCATAGCAAGAGCTGCTTCAACTGCACCAAGCACACGGCATGATGTGTTCCGTGCATGGCTCCTGACCCTGCAGACTACCCTGTGGTTTCAAGGACATAATTGAGGATCAAGGTTGCCCTTTCCCTGACGCAAAATTGGTGTTTTGTGGTTTTCATACTTCAAGATCAAGCCTTGTGTCTTCATGTTTGAACTCACCAAACTACTAGCTGTGAACTTTCAAAATTAGCCCGCACGAGCCGTATCCAGCAGGTTCTCCAACAATTCTGCGGGAGTTTGCCCCCCGCAGCCAAACGCAATTGAAATATTATCGGTACACCGTCGCAAAGGTCTTTTTAAAAAGACAAGTGGCGCAGCAGCAAGTCAGTGTGCTCATGCATAAGAAGAGCAAGTAGCGTAGAAGGCACGTCTGCCTGCCATGCGTAAGACGAGCAAGTAGCGTAGCAGCAACTCAGTGTGAACATGCATAAGAAAAGCAAGTGGCGCAGCAGCAAGCCACTGCCCCCGTGCAAGAGGTGAGCCAGTAACATTGCAGCAAGTCTGTCTGCACGTGCATAAGAAGAGCGAGTAGCGTAGCAAATGCACATGCATAAGAAAAGCAAGAAGCGTAGCCGTAGCAGCAAGTCTGTGCGCAGCTGAGAAGAGCAAGTAGAGTAGCAGGAAGTCTGCGATCTATCTATCTTTCTGTCTAATATATCTATCGAACTATCTATCTATCTATCTCTCTATCCATCTATCTATCCATCTACTATCTAATAGTCCCCTTCCTTGTATTCGTTTCTTCTTTACAATATATCTGAATACCTATCTACCTAGCGGCAAGTCAGCGCGCACGTGCAAATTTTGAGCCAGTAACATTGCAGCAAGTCTGCCTGCACGTGCACAAGAAGAGCGAGTAGCGTAGCAGATGCACATGCATAAGATGAGCAAAAAGCGTAGCAGCAAGTCTGTATGCACTTGGGAAGAGTAAGTAGCGTTGCGCGAAGTCTGTGATTTATCTATCTACTTGTTCCAATTCTTCTATTCTTTTTATTCATTCCAATATATTTCAGTATCTATCTACCCATCGATCCATGCAATTAATCTTCCTATTTGTCCAAGTGTGTCCGATTCTTTCTATTCCGTCTATTCTTTCTGATCTATGTGTCTGTCGACTGATCGATCTTTCCATCCGTCCACCTATCCATCTAGCTTACCTATGTTATCAAATCATCTACTTATTTTTTCTTATCCACCTGATCTGGCTGATCTATCTTTTCTATCTTATCTATCCTATCTTTCAAAACTATCGCATCTTTCTAAGCTTCCTAATCTAGCTAATCTATCTAACTTACCTAATATAGCTACTAATATAGCTTCTCCAGCCAATCTAGCTAATCTGCCTATCCCGATCTATCTTTCTAGCCTATTCTGGCCTATTCTAGTCTGTCTACTGTATCCCCACTCTGTTCTATTCTACTCTGTTCTTTTCTATTTCTCTTTCTATTTCTATTTTTTCGGGGTCTATTTCTATTCTTTTCCTCGACCTTTTCCTATTCTCTCTCTTCCTATTTCTATTCTACCCTTTTTTTCTATTCTATTTAATTTGTCTATTTTTGTTCTACCCATCGAATCTTTCTAATCTACCTGTTCTAATCTATCGGATCTATCTAGTCTAAACAATCTATCTAATCTATCGGGTCTA